TTTAGAGCTTAGGGTTTAGGGTTGAAGGGGTTTAGGGCTTATAGAGCTTAGGGTTTAGGGCTTAGAGCTTCGGGATTGGGGTTTTTGTGCCTCCTGGGGTTTAGAGCTTGGGGTTTAGGGTTTGTGCTGGCTCCACCTAAATAGGACAAGCCAGTATTCCGGGGTTTAGGGAGATCTAGGGCTTAGGGTTCGGGAGGGCCTTACGGAAATTTTCTGAAACCCAGGCCTTTCAGCTCCCGAAGCCCAAGCGAAAGGCCACTGGGACTCCAAAGCCCTACTGAAGGCCTCAATCGTGAGAATGGTGTTGGGAGGAGGGATGTGTATATCATGCTAGAATTCTGAAGCCTTAGGCGGTAAGTCGTAAAAAACAAGAGGCCGAACCCTGCCACCTGGAAGATGCTCGAGCTGGAATTGTCGCGACTCCTAAGACATTTTGAGCTCAGCCACGGTGGAACTCCAGGAAGGTGAGGATGTTCCTCAAATCCACTGGCTCTTCGGCATCAGGGGGTCATGTCGCAGAGATTTCTCTGAGGGGATTTGGAGAGTGTCCAAGGCTTCCTGGGGCCTAAGGTTTACACGCAGAAGGATTGCAGGAGTGCTATAAGGCCTTGCATAGGGTTGCAAAGACGTGTGGTTACCTTTCAGGTATGTATGTCTTTGCATGCGGCAGCCTGTGAAAAAGCAAAGGACTTGAAACGTAAAGACAACCACAATTGAACAGCCCTGCATGTGCAGATGGTTGTTCACTGCGTTGGGAATTGATCGTACCCATCACATGCTGGTAGAGCCAGATCAGTGCAGCTAAAGGCTCTTCGCAATGAGCCGATCTGCCTTCTGAAACCTCGCATTGAAAACAGCATCAGCAGGACATGTCTACCGATTGACGATCAGCTGCACGGACAAATGCCTATGTCTTCATGCCAAGTTGTGGGTTTTTGGTTTCGGGTTTGGGGCACCTCAGCTGGATCTGCGGCCTTGGGCCAAGAAGCATGAAATCATCATAGGGAAAGCCAGATGCGGCATTCGCAGAGAAGGTTCGGCGAAAGTCGTTCCACTCCTGTCGTTGACACACATGCCCTACCGAGGCAGGCAGGCATTATGCTCGGAGAATGACAATTTTCTGGGCGGAGCTACACGCGGACGCACTTGCGCAAACTGCGCTGCAATAAGCCTGCGTGGCAAACTGTCTATGCTCTCTTGCCGCAAAGCACGCCGCCGATACTTGTACGTGCCCCATCTTCGTAGGGCAGGTTCCGTGATTAAGGATCCAAAGTCCCAAACCCGCATCCCGACATGTGCCTCACTGTAGGAGCAGTCGAGAATACTCGGAGTACCATCCCCCCGCTGGACACCTGCTTTCGGACTCAGGGTTTTGTGCTGGAGCTTCCATAGCTTCCCTTCTCGTGATCTGTCCCAATTAGATGTCCAGGCATGCCAATAACTGAATGTATAGAAAAGAGTGATGGCTACGATGTACTCTGCGTGACACTCAACACCTGTGTGCTTCAAGCGGGGTCTGCCCTTGAGGTTTGGTATATTGGTCTCTGCCCTGACACGCGCCTGACACCGGACTGGTGCTCTCGTTCTGGGTGGCAGCCAGCACAAGGCACCTGCAATCCAATGTGTTAACTAACTGGCTAGATCTCTCTCCCCCTCTGCCGTTGCATCTGGCTATATACAAGAGAGTATCTCGTACACCAGTCGTGACAAATCTGCTGCGAGCAAAAGCTGCCACAAGCACCCCCATTTTTCAAGCGCGAGTCTGCGCTGTTCACCTGATGCCCTGTGCGGATGTATCTGTGCGTGGCTATGCACAGGGTGTAATAGCACGATTGCGCAACGTCTAGGGCTCCCTCGCCCAAGAATGACCAACAAACCTTGCGACTGACACTCTCGAAAATTAAAACTTGAACTCCCCTTGGCAGTGAAGCCTGTCATACTCTAGGTGGTCTACAGGGGGAAGCCTTTCATAAAGAGGCTGCGAGGAAGCGAGTTCGCTGAGTATCTCGACTCTCGAAACTTGGCAATGTGGGGAGGCTTATGGTAATTCTGGTTAGTGGGTCGATCTGCTCGAGGTTACCGTAGGGCCATAGAGTTGCGAATACGGGGTGCGGAACAGAATCCAACTTAGACGGATTGCACATCACATACTGAACCGTGGCGCAGCATCCGATGCAGATTCCTGCTACACGTTGCCGTGCGTCAGAACCCAATGCTTGTAGCATGAAATCCCCTCTTCAACATTGCAAGGGAGGTTGCCGAGTCGACGGGCGCAACTCTGAAGTCTAGGCCCACACCCAGGCTTCGGCGAAGTCCAGGACACCGCAGGTTCCAAGCACCCCCTGTACATTTCTCACTGCACACTGAGTGCGATGTAGCTTTTGGACTAGTGATAGTAACCTCTCCCCGTTTGTATCACACACACAAACAAACAGGCAGTGTCTCTCTGTCTTCTGCCCTCTCTCTCTTTCTCTCTCTGCTTTGCTAGGGCTGCTAAAGGTATACGGGTCTGGCAGTCCGAACCCCATCCTCAGCCACCCCGCAGCGACGACGCCGAACAAGATTATACTATAGCCTAAGATCCACCCGAAGCCCCGTTCGAAGTATCAGGGCCCCACAACACCTGCTTCGACCAAGGCTTGACTGCACATGGGTGGTTGTCAAAAATTATGGTCCCTTTTTGGGTCCTTGTTATAATACGGCACCTATTATTTAGGGTACCCCAAAAGGGACCATCATTTTGACAACCACCCACATGAGAGAAAGGAGCTTCGAACAGGGCTTCAGGGGGTAATTACACTGTAAATATAACGAGGAACCGTCAGGAAGAGTGTAACTAGTAGTTCTTTTCCAATCACGAATTTCAGAACAGCGGCTTACAGCGAGTTGTCAGTGTACCTTCGGAGGCTAGGCGCCAAAAACTTCGCACACCGAAAAGCTCCTCGATGCTAAAACCCGTTCTTGACCGACTCGCCACCGGCAGCAATCACTCCGATGTGTAGAGGCTTCCCTAGAGCATAGGTTTCGGGTTGAAACGTAGGGTAGCGAGACACTCGCATCCCAGACATCCGGGCAGGCTCGTTAGTTTACAGAGTTCAAACTCGATTCCTTCTCTTGAGAGGGGGTGCCGGTATCCTGGGCAAATTTCTGCGACAGAGCCGCGGACAAAACAGGGCCGTGGCTGCAACTGCTATACCCTAAACCCTAAACACGAAACCCTCCTATTCAGACAGGCTCAACCTGACCAAGCCTCAGGTCAGGAGGCCGGGCAATGCAATGTAGGAGTTTCTCAAATTGAAGAGAGGATGTTGGGATATATTGTACTATACTTATCTATACTAATGTTAAGGAACCATAAGGATTAGTACTACTTATTCTATACTAGGGCACTGGCGTTCCGCACCTTACCCTTGGGCACCTGAACCCATACAATGCTAGAATACTGTCACGGATAGAATCTATTCAACGTAGCGATAACAGAAAGACTATGTGTTTGTTGTATTCCCTTTTCCTGCAGCCTAAACGACTGGGAGTGCCAGGTTAGGTAGGGGTTCAACATGTCCAAGCGGGCTTTTCTTGGAGGCACTGGGAGAGCTATTTATTGCTAACTTCCCTGGCGCACAGAAGCTTTACCTTGTAGTGATAGGAGTATTTGCACGCGCACGCACACACACACACACACATCGATGGATTTGTGGATGGACGGGCGGATGGATCGACAGAGAGGTAGAAAGCTGGATAGATAAACAGATAGATACACCGACACACAGATGGCTAGATGGATGGATAGATAGATAGATAGATAGATAGAGATGTACAGACCTTGCAAAGCTTCAGGACTCCGCTTCTACGTTTGCGGAGCCCTGGTGGCACGGCTCGCGGCTCTGAGGGGAACAGCGGCGAGCGACCCGACGCCTGGACCAAAGTCGAGCCGCTCAAATTAAAATCGGACGGTGCATCTTGGGTCTGCCTTTTTAGGATTTCAGCACTCGCAACTGGGACAAGCCTGGCGAGGTTCCGGATTTAGGAAGTTTAGGATGGTAGAGTTTTGGAAGTTTAGGATTGTAGCGCTCGGGAAGTTTAGGGTTTAGGGTGCAGCGTCTGCCTTCGTTTACAGCTCAAGAAACCAATGCCACACTAAACCCTGAACACGAAAGCCTCCAAGACTCAAGAACTTGCTCCATATGGTGTAGTTCTCAGCGCCCGTATAGAATCTAAAGTGTTCATGCTGTGGTCCTGATCAAGGCACATCGCATCAGTGGGAGGAAGCAAAACCCTCTGCGGCCGCCGCCTACTAATCACTACACGGGCTCTGGTATCTTTAGTGGTAGGGACTAAGGATTGCGGTAGGCAGGCCCTTGAATTCCACCAGCCAGCCAGATTTGCCGCAAAAGCATGCATACCTCAACGACACGATTACTCTGCTAACCAACCTCTGCTACAAGTGAACAAGGACTCGGAGCATCTGAAACATCCTCACCCTTACACCAGGGAGTGGTGTCAGCACTTCGGCAGCTATTGTGGCAACACAGGTGTGTTGCAAGAGGGGCTGTGCAATGCCCATCTGCCATCTGAGCTGTGCCTCGTGGCAGCGTCTTGTGGACCCGAAGGCACAAACGTGAACCCAGGGGACCGAGCCGAACGGTTTAGGGTTTAGGGCTTAGGGAAGCAATCCCAAATGCACGTGGACCTCAGAAGTCCTTTGCAATGAACATGGCTCCTCCCCTCCTAGGGGCTCATGCATATGCCCGCAGATATCACTGACTTCCACATGCGCAGATGGTAGTGAAGCTAATGGTGCCAAAATTGTCAGGTGCCTCTGGCAGTTTTTCCGAGCACAGCAAATATGATGCGCGTGCTGGTAAGGGCCAGCTTCATGGCATAGCTGCATATTTCGAGGAATTCTTACCAACAAGAACCGACTCACCTTCGGCATCCCAACCGTCAAGGTCACACATGACGGCACCTCATGCTATCACTAGCGAACTTGACCAATGGCCGTAGCGAAAAGAATGTCACTGCACCAGCAAAAGTCATCACATCCTCAGCTTGGGTGAAGACAAGGATCCTTGGGGCGACTAGTGACTAGGTTTTACAAGGGCGGTTGCTCTGTGCAAGTTTGTGCAAGTCTGTTTCGTTTCTTATGACACGGTGTTCTGAGGCGCCCATCCTCGCAGAGACCCCTGAAAATAATCCTATGAAGCCATATTCAGAACAACCCTCGAAAGAGGGTACTATGTGTCAACTGAAGGCACTGCAGGCAGCCTTGGGGGCCGACAAGTATACTCATCTTATTTGCACTATGACAAAGCTTCTGCTGGCATGCTTCTAGCAGATTACTTCTGTTGTAGAAGTTCTGATTGTTGTAAAGCTCACGAGTCTTAACTTAAGCCAGAGTACCACAGGATGGGTTCCTCCAACACTTTCCAGTGAATTTCAAACCAAGTGACGCGAGGGGTGAAGCCAACAACGTCAAGCCTCAGGCACGACGGGACAGTCGCAATGGATCAAAGATTGCCGCAAACCTTTAAGCTTCAGCACGAATGCCGCTCATGTCGATGATGACGAAATCTTTTCCTCCATGCCTTTGGTAGTATGACTGGCGGTGCTGTCTTACGGGGCTCCGGTTTCGGCGCATGGCAGAAGCAGCAGCGGCCGTAGCATTCGGACTTACAGCAACAGTAGCAGTAGCGCTGTTTGCTGTTGTTCGCACTGCAGCCTTTGAGGTTCGTGCTTGGTCCGAATGATTTCCATTACTAAAGCTCGTCTTTGCTGCAACTGGCCTCTTGGGCTTTGCACGGACGTGAGGAGTGGGAGGCCCTTCTGTGACAGATGCTGTATCCAGACACCAAGGCAGGCAGGACTTGAGAAAACTCTGGTTTTTTGATTGACAGCCTTTTTTCCAGGGTTTAGGATATGATTTAGACTCGGCAAAGTCTGGCCAACCCTTGGCGACAACTACTCAGACATGCCCGCGGCGATCCTCCAAAAGCCATCGCCCAACAGCTTTACGGGTTTAGAGTTCAGGGGTTGAGGGTTTATGCGCTCCAGCATTTCGGCATTTCTTCTGTGCGCGATGTTGGCAACATATCGGACAAGCCGGTCAGACCAAATGACGAAGCAGCCTACAAATGACATACATGCTACTGCGACTGGGCTGACTACTGCCACGACCACGACCACGACGAATACTACTTGCCAGCTCGCTGGCACAAACTGCATAATCTCCGACGGATCCTCCAGGGCTGGCAGCAGCCTACTGCGTCAGAGGGTTTGTTACATCAATGCGGTCACGGTCATCGGGTGCCACGGTTTACAGGCTTTGACTCGTGACCTGACGGACCGGGAATGCCCGACATGTAAGCCAACGTAAGGTGTCCGTTTTTCAACGAAACATGAAATCGCGATCCGAAACCCAACAACCCCTCCAACGTCTTGCAGCCCACCACAACGCCTATGCAAGACGAGCAGCAGCATATCCATCATTGTGTCTCCACGACATGGAGACTGCGTCTTACCTTTGCAATCGCAGCCAGTGCAAACCCATCGCAGTCTGTAAGCGCCATACCGATACCCTTACTGCGCAGTCCCAGGGGACAAGTCACTGGCCCCAAGCAAAAGCAAGTCCCACGGCCTTCTTCGCACGGAGGATCAACTGTAAAATTTGTCTGATCCTGCATCGGCATGGCTGCTCCCAAATCATCACAGACATTGCGGCATGTCTCAATAATTGCAAGGAGAGCTTTCCGGCAACAGTTTTCCCGGACTCAGCCTACGGAAAGAAGGCGTAAACCTAAACACAACCCAGAAAGCATTTTCAGCCGGTGGCTCGACGTAGCTCTGCACACAGAGACCCTCCCAAATCCCCCGAATGCGCCGATCTTAGCAAGGGTCTCAGATGTATTCCCCGACCAAAAATGAGCACGAGTCCTGGGCATCGCTTACAACGTCTAGGGCGACAGGCGTAGACCACCTCTCGAAAGCCCGCAGGTGAAGACTTCGAACTTCCGATTGCTGAAGGCTTGTGCTTTAGGCCCTTCAGCTTAGAGTGCTGAAAGGCTTTGGCCAGCTGAGATCAGGCAGAAGAACTCCCTGGTTTTGTTTGCAAGGCCCCAAAGGAAGAGTCAAGATATTCATGATTCCAATCGGGGTCTGCTTCCACGCAATTGCGGGCCGGGACTGGATGTTCCAAAACGCTCAGGCGCTCAGTATTCCAGACACGGTCATCGTGTAGGATCTACCTTAAGAACCCCAAACCCATTTTTTTGTAGGTTCTTATTATAAACCCTAATATGGGATTTATCGGGACCCTACAAAGAAGTAGGTTTTGGGTTCTTAAGGTAGACTCTAGACTCTAGGCCCCGTGCTCATCTGTCAAGGCTGTGGTCCTTAGTTGGTTTGCATCCGGAGCGATCGAGGGATGTCTTCCGCGTTCTCCGCAGACACAGTGTGGCAATCTTTCTGACCTGGTGCAGCCAAGCATCTTAACAGCCGCGATGTAGGAAACAACCAAAAGTAAGCGCATCTGGCGCATCATGCCATGTAACGTCTTTCGAACGCTGGCTGTGGCGGATCCGATGATGCCCGACCGCAGACCGCAACAGGTCAACAAAGCAAGATTACACAATCTCGGCAAGCACGATGAGATTCTAGCTTGATGGTACAATGCTCAGTGTATCGCGTGAACTATGCTGGGCCGATGCCCTTGAGCCGCCAGGCGCAGCAAGGAGAGCAATCCACGAAGGATTTGCTTGGAGTGATACTCATGCGACTTCGCAGCAGTGAGGCGGGCAGCTTGACAAAGACAAGCGGTACGGAAAATGATCCTCGCTTACGACTCCGGCCTGCAGGTACCCGGATCAAGGGACAGGGATCATCCGGCCCTGTACCCGAAACCCCTCAAAATCCAAAGCCTTCCAATGTCTGGGCCGTGCACCAAGCCAGGGTCAGAGAACGCAGCCGCATCAGACAACCGCTGGAGCGGAACCATCGAGGAGTTTTCAGGTCAACCGGCTAGGTTTAGGGTACTTTTTTGACCAAGCCTTTATGCTCATTTATTCTGCAAGTGAGACAGGAGTAGTCTAGTAACGTCTATAGTAATGTAGTACAGCATGAGCCTTGACAGTGGAGGGCATCGGAGTTGGCAGGCGCGACTCTCAGCGCAGACGAAACCATTGTAGTCTGCAGATGATAACAAACAACTACCTGTAGTCTCCATTGTAGTTCCTTTTTGTGGTTTAACCATTTGTATATTAAGGGTCCTATAAAGTAACCCCAAAGAGGAACTACAATGGAGATTATAGGTACAGTAGTCTTTCAACAAGGCACATCCTTTCTGGACTATACAACAAGTAATACGAGTAACAATAGTAATTAATAACGATAGCATTACGAATACGGATAATAATGGAAAAACTTACGACAAATTACAGTAATAGGCGCAACTACTGTGGCTTCTCGCATATGCCTAAGGACGGACCAAGGAGCCCACATGTCTCTTGCTGAAAAGCCTCAGCCCCTACTTGCAGAGCTTCTACGGGCCTTGTTCCATCTTGCGGCTGTTTTTGACGCACAACTAGCGCTTGAAGCGGCCTTAACTTAGAATGGTGTTAGGCATATAGGGGCTAGAACGGAATACTGTTCTACGAAATATTCAGACCCTGTTCTACGGGCCGGCAGAATCCTAATTGCAGGAATCCTGTGCAAACTCTACGTATGAACGAGAAACGTCAGTAACTGTGAGAAACGAACCAGAACTCTTCAGAGGCCTCATAGAAACCCATAGGCAGCAACAACACGACCCTGTAGAACAACACCCATCTAAAGCTTCCCCATGCTCCACCAAAACCCTCTATATATTCCAAAAAATGCCGTTAAAGCGTCACAGCTCCACACTGTAATCCTTGCAGAACCGTTTAACAACCCTTTCAGAACCCTTTAAGAACCCGTAGAAACCCCCAGAGACAAGATCCGAGGCTGGTTCCCTTGCTCTTTGCAGCTCTTCCTCCTTGGCCAACTGGGCAAACTGCGCCTTGGGAGTCTTTCGGGGTGGTTCTAGGGGCTGTTTCTGACACTCACACTCGGACAAAGCCAGGCAAGGTCTGCAGCAATACAGTCAGTTTTAGGGTTTAAGCCTGCATGTTTAGATAGCTCTCTGTGCTAACCTCCCCGCCAGTTCTAACGCTAGTAAGCCTAAACGTTTTGGGTAGTTGTATGTAGGTGAACCGAAGATCTTTTGAAACTTTGGCTAGGGTTTGGGGTGCACAGAATATGTGTGCACATGAAATGAGATCCAGACGTCAACCTTGAGAAAACCGCATAGGGGGCAAACAGGCAGCAGCCACATACGTAGATACACATGTCGGTAGAAACAAACTAGGCGTAGGCGTTCCTGTACGGGTGATACTTCAACTCAGTATACTCGGGAAGCGACAGGAAATACACAAATATGCATTCGAGTGAAATCGAGATCGACTGCGATTGCCAAAGTTACACTACCAACTAACTACTAAGGCGGGTTGCCTTCGACAGCTGCTCACGAATAGTAAGACCTTCCGAAGCCCAAGGAAACATAATAAATCCAGACATGCGCACACACACGCACACATGTACATACATAATCTCACTGGCCTCCTAGATCCTAGCCACACATACTGCCCAGCTTCAGCCGACAATGGCAGTAGGAACAGTGGAAGTGGGCTGTGTAGGAACTTGTCCGCAGTTCTACTGCAGTTTTTGGATGCAGGTGTCGCTTTTGGGTGTGCGAGGCTTATCAACATCTTCACGGTGCCTCCAACATCCATGCAAAATGGGTGAGGCAATAGAACTCCTACGCCAACCAGTGCACCCATGAATACTGCGTGCGCCATCACTACTAGGACGGCGACGACGAAGATCACAGCACTCCTACTGCTACGCGACGACATCTTCGAGGACTTTTAAGCCGGGGTTTGTAGCAGCATGTAGCAGCCCGGAGAAGGCAATGTCTCTGGGGCACTCGCCAGAGTCGACTGGAAGCATGATCCCAATGCAGCCGAAAAGGCCTCGGTGGAAGACGGAAACCTTGCCCTTTGCCCCAAACCCCTGCAAGTTGCCATTCACATTCGGTGACTGCAGCACAGTCATTCCCTCTATGGATCTCTTGTCTCACTCGAAACAAAGCCCTAAAAGTGACCCTGAGATCCTGGGCTACTCCTTGGTGTCTTTTGCAGCACTAAGGATGCTCATTTACAAGGATCGTAGCGATCCTTCGGTCTCTGCTTTCCCGAAACTCTCAGTATCTGAAGCAAAGTCCGAAACTCAAAACCAAGTCGGACGGATGTTACACTACACTGGCATAATGACTCTTGAAGGGAATACTCCTGGACCCCTTTATATACCTAGAGCGACTATAATTGCAAGCAGCTCACACCCCCATATCCATGCACCCATGAACCCTTCCGCCCTGATCTCCCGTGCTTCACAGCCCAAACAAAGCCGCTGACTTTGAGTCCACGCCCACCTCGAGGCGGATGCTGCTGAGTTTGCCATGGGTATTTCAGAGAATGAGTGACTCCCGTTTACAGGTCCATACTAGAGCACCCAAGAATGGACGAGCTTCCTGTGAGCCCTTAGCTTTGACGGGACTCGGCTTCGCAAGGCTTTTTTGTTCATGACGTCTGCCGTATTCTGTGTTGCTGCCATCATGTCCACACTTATTTCTATGGTCTTGTTCGTTTGTAATGCTGTGCTGCCTGCAAACGCTGCTGCTTCATCTTTTCTTAGCGTGTCTATCGCTACCGCCCCGAAACTGCTCTATCTGACTGAAGCTCGAACACCAAGCACCTCCCTCGCCTTCAAGCCTTTCGCCCACGCAGCCGCACTAAATCTAGCCCTGACAACTTCCCAGCACAACTACATATATACATATATATATATATATACATATACACATATATTTAAATAAACATATATGTATATATGCATAACGCAGCCCAAAGGACAATTTGCCTTGAGAAGCACTGAAAAGTTGCAGTCGAAAGCCAGATCGGCAAACAGTCAATAACTCAACCGTGCCCGAACCACGGAGCAACGACTGCAGTCCTGTTTTTGCTCGGTGAATTGCGAAGTGCGACAGGCTAGTCCGGAGAAGATTTCTAAGTGTGGGCCACGCTCAGCATGAGACACTGTATATTAAAACTCTGAGCTGCTCTGCACCGCAGACGACCTTCCTTTCGGACGATCCCGGCATGACTTCCAAGTCACGTTTGCGTGCCCAAGGGAAGAGCCAAGTTCGAAACTGCAGCCGGCCCAATGCCCCTAGCCGTGTCAGGGGCCTCAACAACAAGATGAGCTTTCGTCGTTTTCCTGCTTGTTGCGATTTTAAGCTTCGGGACTAGTCATATAAAGCACCTTGCCCGCTTCTCCTGTGAAAAATGTGCATGCTACGGAAAGGATCCCCCGAGGATGCGTAACGGTTCTACGTCTGTTCTGAACGCCAGAGCTTGCAACACCAAAAAATCTGAAGCCCCAAATCTGACTTGCGACCGATTCGACTTTACCCTACAGAGCCAAGATACAGCTCACAAAACTCTCATCATACCCTGATGCCCTGAACTTCCCTGAACTTCCATGAAGCCCAATTAGACCCAGAGCCGGCCGCCGAAGCACGGAAAAACCGGCCCAAGATCGGCTGAGCCGAAGGGGGCCGAAGGTCTGAGCTGAAGCTTCCAAGCTTTCGCAGCTCGAAAGCGAAGAGAACGCGCAGCGCTGCTTGAGCCAAGGGTCTCCGAAAAGAACGGGGTGATTCTGTCCTGGGTTTGGGCTGCTCCTATGGAGAGAGGCTCTTCTCTCTTTTAAAAGGAGTCTTGGAGCTCAGCTGGGCGCTGAAAAGGGCACTGCATGCAGTGTCGAAATAAAACTCCCTGCATTACCGACAGGGAGGGGCACACAATTGCTGTCGAACCAATTTTGGGGGCTCCTTATTACAAGTATAGTATAATAGGCCCAAAACCCTGTTCTAATTACATCAATTGGTTTAGGGCCCCACGTTAGATGATGCATCTTCGAGCTTGGACCCCGGCCTAAAGTCCTGTAAGCGGTGAAGCCGTGTACTGTTTACCGAAACCACAGAAATGTAGAGCCTCTACCGAAACTAAATGCTCCATGACTTCGTGCGAGAACACTGAACCCCACAACCTTCAGCCTACAGGCTCTTTGCGGCTTCGGGTTGAAGGCCGAGTACCCCGAAAACCCTGGAGTTTCTGAAACTTTCCGGCCTTCCCGGGTGTGGCATTTCTGAAGCTTCCTTTCCTCAAGGACCTGATTTACAGAGTCCCTCTATGTTCCTTCTATGCGATGCACGAAGTGCTGTTCGTGCTCATGCCCATGTACTGGACCGACTTCACGACAGCTCTTGGTGCCGGGTGTGGCATGCCTGAGCATGCACTGCCAGGACGTGGCCTTCAAGGACTTGAGGGCCAAGCCCAACCGATCTGAGATTCCCAGAAAGCATAGTCATGTTGTTCTGTTTAGGGTTAGTCAGTATGCATCGTATCGCAACTAACTTGGGAATCGTGTCTTGAGTCTTGAGACATCTGGACCGACTTCGGCATGCATTGTTGTGCACTTCGCCTGCGCTGCAGGCACCTTGATAACGCATGCAGCACTGTTTCGCCGACCACATCCCACTTTCGCGAAGCCCTTCTTACTTTCAGCGTAGGGCCTTGCACGGGTGGGCGCGCGGCATCGAGTTTCCCGAATACAGTGTAAAAGGAATCCCATGTAATTTGCAAGCTTGGGTTGCCTAGGTTTCGAGATTCTGGTTTGCCGGTTCAAAGGTCAAGGGTTTAGGGCTGCAGGCAATCACCAGATAGCGCCGTTTTTCCGAGCCTCAACATCTTGCTCGCATGTTCGGAGTTTCTGACACGTGGGACGTTCAGACTGTAAGGGGTCCTTGTATAGAGCTCGAAAGAAAGGAAATCTCATGATCACTACTGCTAGATAAGATACGCATCAGCTTTAACAAGAACGCCCGGTATTTGTCGTCTGGTACAGCAGTAGCAATCACTGTAATGTCATCTTTATAATAGGAACAGCACCAACCAATAACAACAATACTTACAAATCAGAATATAACAAACTTTGAGATAACACACATAACAGGTAACACAATAATCAACGATTATTATGTTATACACAAGAACATAACACGATACAGTCTAACCTGAACCTAGTGTCGTACAGTACAATCTAATATAGTGTCATGTAATACAATACTGCGACATCATATAACATAATAATTATACATAGAAAGGAATACAACTTAGTGTAACATGGTGTGAGGTGATATGGTATAATGTACTACAGCAGAATGTAGTATAGCCGAGTTTAACCTGGTATAGTATAGCACAGTATAGTATAGTTTAGTACAGGTTTTTGTAATAGAATATACTGTAATATATAACTTAACATGTCAGACGCTGGGAGCCCCTTTTTCCCGGTAGACTCCTGACACAAGGTGCCGCAAAGCCTCTCCGTCGGAACAATCTAACAGGAACAGTACAACAGTACAGTGTCATTTCGGGAATTGACTACTGCGCCTCGCTGGCCATGTACAACGGACTTTCAGCATGTGCATGTTTCAGCATGTTTCAAGAGCGGTATGTCGACACTTTCGTCCCGGCGATGTATGATACGGTGACAGGGTATGATAAGATATGACAATGGTATTATTCGATCTCGTTTGATACGATATGATGTACCCTCCAAGCCTGTTGCCAGTGTTGAAGAATGGGATGGGAGTTGGTTTCAGTAACTGTAGTCGTTTCCCGAATGCCTTCCAAGCCTTCCAGGTTTAAGAGCTGACACACAATCTCATTGTTCTGGATTCCTCGTAACAACTCGCCATGGCTGCGCCCCATCTCATGAAAGAAAAGCCGTGGCTATGGAACAGCACCTTCCCTCGGCACGGATAGATCTGAACAGAACCTGGTTCGTGCAGCTGAGACAGCAGCTGGCCCCCAGGTGAGCGCAGCCATCAGCACCTTTGATTGCAGCAGCCGCAAGTTGCTTATAGGTTTTGGCTACAGTAGAACATACACCAGAAGAAGCGGGAAGGAAGGGGCGCTGCGAGGGCCGTGACATGGCTGTGTCAGGACGACGTTCAACGGGAACGGACAGCAGGCAGGGCCTGAACAAATGGGGTGGAGACTGTGAGTGCCGTGATGTGGCTGTGTCGGGAAGTTCTCATGCAGGCAGCAGGATTAAGTTTTGGCGAGAATAGACTTCTCACTAAAGGAAGGGAAAGGAAGGGGGAAAACTGCTTCACCCCCAACAAGAAGAGAAAACAACAGTCTAATACCAAAAGTCCTCGACTCCTTAATGCCGAACCGCGAACCCTAAAACCTGAAAGTTGTTCTCTGCGCCGCGCTTGGGCACGAAGAGCGAGTAGAAGACGAACTCGCCCACGACCACATCGTGGAAGACATGTCTGAATGCGAGTTCCTCGGGACTCATCAGGCTTAGCCGGGCTTCTGGGGCCTTTTGAGGTTTCGGGGCTGTGCACGAGTCCTAGCCTGAGCCCCGAGCCAAACTCGAACCCTCAAAACACCGAAAAATCGGAAAGGGCAAAAACAAGCGAGGAACGCTCATCATCATTGCCCAGAAAGCCATCGCGCAACCGAGACCCAAGGCGAAGTTCAAGGCTGCCTTGGGTCGTGCAGTTCTAAGGTTTCTATGTTTTTGTGGCTTCTATGTTTTTGTGCCCTATATGGTTCTAAACCCCCAAAATTCTGCAGCCCATGTATTTCTTTAATGGGCAATCAGTGATGCTTTCTTCCTGGCCTCTTTTATTCCAGAGCTGCGACGTCGCCGTAGCCAGTATGCCACCTTGAGCTCCATGGCAAGCATTGCAGGATAGCCTGCAACGGTAGAACTCCCCCTTCATTCGGGGGCAAAGCTGTGAGAAAAATATATAAGGAAGAGTTGTCTTCCAAGCGTAGGCGAAAGACATCGCTGCTCATGCTGGTTGGCAGCTCTGGCGGCTGAAACCCATGGTGAGCAGCATGTCTTTGGGCACCGCGCCCCATTTAGGAGGGAGCAGTGACGATCAAATTAGGAAAAGCCGGGAGCTGTCGACATGTATGTACAAATTAAGAGAGAGAGAGAGAGAGAGAGAGATTGGCCCCGAAACTTGTAATTACTAGCGACATGTTGAGACTCATGTGTAGTTCCAGCGGCTTTGCCATTGTTGCCATGTGGTTGGCGTACCAGCGTCACAGATCCCCTAAACTGCGGGGGCCCCAAGGCCCAAAAACACTACCAGACTTTATTAGACTATACCCATATACCCAAACCAAAACTCCCTGCCTTGAAGCGCGAAGATGAAGAATAATCCGGCTAGTGAATCCGCAAGTCGAGCAACTCTCAATAATCAAGGCCGACTCCTGAACTTAAGAACTCACCACGAAAGGGACTTTGGCACGTCGTTCCCAAGCCTGCAAGCCAGTAGGAGAAATATGCTCCGACATAGAGAAGGAGATCTCTGTGGTCCTGGGAGCTGGCAGCAGCTGGCAGCAAGCGGAGCTAGGAGAAACGAGGACCCGACATGACGCATGACGAAAGCCTTTTGCCCAGATTCCGATGCTCCACTTCTGACGGCTTGCGCCATGTCTGGAATGCCCATCCAGAAGTTCGCGATGGTGGCCGCCACAAGCCATGTGTAGGGCAGCGGAATCTTCGCGAATCTGTCCGTGAACACTTTCGAGACCCGTTCACGTACGACGGTCTCAAACTCTGCAACGGAGCCAAACCAGGTTGTAACGCATTCTCGGATGACCTGCGAGTATCGGAAAGCCGCTGTCCAGCTTCAAGCTTTGTTTGAATCCCTGAACGTAACACTGCAGCCACTGCACTACCAAGAAGCAATCAGTCTGGAAACCGGTCTCCCGTGGACTTCCTACCAACAATTTCGAGCAGCGCGTCAAACGGTCTGTTGCAGCAAGCCAAAAAATAAGCCTTTACTCACAAAGGGGCCCCGATGCTTTCAGACCTCTCAGCAGCTAGTCTTTGCGCTGCCTGGTGGTCACACAGCATCGGTTTGCCTGTGACCTTGGCTCTACATTGACGATGCATTCTTTAAGAAAGTGAACTCCCCTGATGAAGCACTAAGCAGAAAAGCCCATGGCCCGTACGGTCATAGGCAAAAGACGCACTCTGAGTATGGTGCAAACAGCTTCCACCCCAAAACTCCATGCCAAAGTGCTCCCACAAACTCAAGCCCACGGCACCGGCTGCTAGCGTTCATGGAAGTATTCCTGTGCTCTATCTCAGCATAGCCGGAGGCCCAAACATCCAGGAGCGCACGCAGGTACAAATTTCTGAGATTTTAGCTACCTTTCTTGAGGGGTCGGGTGGGGGGTTCTGCCCAAGCCCCGGGGACATCACCAGGTAGGCTGCTGCAAAGCACACCTAGGAATCTGTTTCATCAGGCTCCATCAGACAAGATGCAGGATGGATATGCTTAACGCTGCAGCAATGGCATTCGGGATCTCGATTGAAATCAAACCGCTGAAGCTGCTCCTGGCTTTCAAGCTTCTGTGGTATCTGGTGTGAGTTTCAGGCTGCCAGGAATCTTTGAACGCGTGCTGTTGATGATTAAGTCCCGTGTGTTTCACTTCCACCATAAAACAAACGAACTTGAGTGTCGGTTAAAATGGGCCTATGGGACATCAGGCTTTGGATGTCTAGAGTTGGAATGGGAGAATGAGGTTTAGGCTGCTTGGGTGGAAGCTCACGAACACTTGCAACTAGTTCCGCGGCATGTTTGGCGTGGCCTGCTTGTCGGTGGGCATGATAAAAATACTTTGAGGCTGGATGGTGAATTCAGGGAGACTAGAGCGCAGTGCTTTGGCTTCAGCTGTAGCAAGAGTTACTCATGCATTGCAGAATCCCGAACGCCAGGTGTCCCTCGCCAACGCCCTCCTTACCCCTGGATAACATGCAAGCCCACAACCGTCGAAACAACAACCAAGTTCCTAAGCATGGCACTAATCGCAAGAGCAAGCACACGCAGAAAGTGCGGAATCCACACTCCAACTGCAACAAATGCTACAACCGCGTCCTGAACTTCTTCAATGGCCCGCATCTGTTGGCGATAGGCATGGAGCACGAAGGGGAGTATGAGTAGAAATGGCAGACACATCACGCATGAGATTCTGAGCCAGAGCTGAGTTTCACTCAGGTCCAGCTGGTAAAGGTACTCAAAGACCGCCATATATGTCACGGCGACGCCCCAGTAGCCCACGAACAGCACCTGGCCAGCTTTGGTGCTCGGCACGTGTTCCGGTTGCGTGCAGCGCAAGCAAGATGTAAGCTCAGCCCCTTTCCCAACCTCTGGAAGTGCTCAGAAACCCAAGCCGCTCGTGGGGAGGGTAGGGAGACGGAGTGGGCAGGGGGTTTATAGGTTTTAAATGGTTTTCTACGCTGATTCCATGGCTCCAAAATGAACTGTACTATGGTTCCTCCAGTGTGTGGAAACTGTCCAGAAACCCCATGACATCTTTCTGCTCGAGGCTCAATGGCTGTAGGGCCCCACGAGACGGGACGGATGGTCAACGCGTCCAGATTCTCGTGAGTCTTCAAGAAGGCAGCCACTTCCAAGATGCACCAAAGCCTTGGAGCGGATTTTGTCGGCTATGATGTTTGGCCTTAATGCCTCATTAATCCTTGGGCCTTGGGGTTCTGGATATGTTCTACTACAGTGAAGAAGAGGCCAAAAGCGCGTACTATGACTGATGAAGGTGATGTTGGGGATGGCGACTATGGGCATCGCGATAGGATGGTAGAGCATGGCAAACAAGTATTGCTTCTTGATGAAATATAAATGCTGCGGCTGACGCTTGTTGCTAGTCGTGCCCCTACACTTCCTGCTGGTACGCCTATTTCTAGATGTTTCTGTCATGCTACCACTGCAGTACAGCTACAGCCACCTCTGCCACTGCCGCCACCACTACGCCACCACGTCGTCACGATCACCACATCAAAGAATACAGCAGCTGCTACTCGTACTGGTGCTCGTGTTCGCTTCAGTTTCGGTCGCAGTAGCCGCGGCAGCAACAAGCTCTTAACTCACAAAGCAAGATCCACTCGCTTCAACCGACAAACGTTTGAAGAGGGCCCTGTTCGCGTTACGCTCACTTGCGGACTTGAACCTACACTGAAAATAGAGCTGCTCCTCAGGCTGATTGCGCACCTGAAGTCGACCTGGGCACCACGCGCCCACCAGGAGTCTTCAAGCAGAAGCCGCCAAAATAACGAAAGGATTGCTCAAATCGGGTACATGGAGCCGGTGCGCGTAGGTGCGATCCCAGCACACAAGCCTCTGCTGCGCTGTGACTCAGGTTGGAGCCAGCACAGGAAATGGACAGAAAGGACAGTCGTAAGTCGCAATGGGATGCCCTCCGACACACGTTCGGAAAATGCAGGGGCCTAGCTGCCAGGCAGGCATCAGCCTTCTCAGCCTTTACGAATCACTGTCATTAACTGCCCGTTCTCAGGTCTAGCAGGCCACGAAGCAGGCCACATTTACAAACTCTCCAAGGAACATGGCAAGCCCAAGACGCGCACACTTAAATCTTGGCTGCGGTACCTTACCCTTACAAAGCGTGTTAGAGCAAGAAGAGAATCAGAAACGCTGGTTGAGACCCCGTGTTTTTGTCCATGTCGATGTAGACATCAAGTGAAGGATTCTAAAAACTCTTGGCTGTGCATGAAGTATCACCACGAAAAGCGATTAGATCGGTCCCCCGAGCATTGAGCAAGGCCTCGTGACAGGCGCAAGTATACACCAAGAGCCAAGAAAATCCAAGGATATCGGCAACAAGGGAGTTTCAGGAAACAGTAAACCCTAATATAACAATATGCCTGTCTCATTGAAAGGAACCCTAAGTCGTGAACCTTGATCAAAGAGCCACTGTTCCTACGATCCTTTGCTTCTCGTGGTGCACCTCTTTTGTCCTACCAGAATCCATGATTCACGCTGTGTGTTGCGGAACCCTCCTTTGGCCGTAAGCGCAAAAGACCAAGGGGCATCGATTCGGAGTGCTTGAGGAACGCGCACATGTTTATCACACCCTCAACCTTGAGCTTCTCATCAGTCTGATGGATGCAGAGTTTGTCCACGAAGACATCTGCGGTCAGGAAGGCTTCGTGTCTCGAGTTTACTGTTGCCCTTCCTTGGGCCCGAAGCCTCCCTGGTCTCGGGTCTCTGGGGCCTCTGGTCCTTGCTCTCGGCATCTGGGCCCAAGTCTCCAACGCTTGCGGCTTGATGCGAGCTCTGGGTGTATCGGGCGGGTCTGCTTTTGGGGCTTCTATGATTAGTAGAAGGCTTTGAAGTATGTTGCAGTATAACGTACATTCATGTAGGGACACTATTTGCTCATTCCGACCCCAAAATTTCAGAGACCATGTGGAGCAGGCACTCCCACCTCTTCGAGGCCTCCAAAGGCAAAAAGTAAGGCAAGACCTGACATGGAATTTGGAGCGGATTCTGGCATTCAGCCTATAGCCGCTATAGCTTAAGGGCTCGGAGGGTCTTTTGAAGATAGGACTTTCCACGGCCCTCTCTAAACCCAATAGTCGCCATAGTCACATGCTCTCCGATCCCTAAGGTCGAAGCACCTGCATGGAGAAGAAAGCCTGTGCCGCTACAGGTAGACCCAAACTTAAACACAAGGAAACTCTCACCCCCCCCCCCCCTGATCAACACCATAGTGATTTCGAGGTTGAAGTATGGCTTTCCCGAAGACCGAAGTCCTGAACTGTGATGGTATCAAAGCATGTCAAACATGCTTCAATAGCGCGCGAACCTGAGTTACCAAGCTCTGTACCAAACATCCCGGAAGGTCAGTAAACGCAAGATAATTTCTCAAGGATTATTCCAGTGCTGTTTCCATCTAGGTGGTTACTATCGCGGCGCTACTTGCACCATCATGCTGATGAGCCCCTGCTTCTGACGGTTGAGTCCAAAACTTTGATCCAGTTAGAAACCCGGAAGCCTAAAAACCATGAACCCAACAGCCAAGACCCTTGGAGTGTTCCTGTACCGACGAATCCTACAACTTGGTGACTTGCGACCCCCATAACTACAAAGTACAACCTGTAGAATTGGAGCCACAAGGTGAGCCCCTAAGCCATTGTAGATCCTTTACCAGTATTCGGTATACACTCCCGGTAGAACCCTCAGTTGGAACCCTTGCGGTTGTTGGTCGTGTCTACTTCTACAACCCATCCGTGCTCTAGTGGCTTGCTGTGGGTCGAAGGCAAGGTTTAAGAGCTGAAGGGCTTTATGGGGTTCGGGGTTCAGCGGCTCAAGTGTCTCACGGAGTTTGGGCGTTTGAATGGCTTTACGGGTCTCAAGGGGTTGCAGAGTTTTAAGGCTATAAAGGGTCGCACAATCCAGGGATCTATGGGGTTAAAGGGTGTAAGGTTTCAGGGGCTCGAGGGCTAGGGCTTAATGGGTGCTTCGGCTGAACGGCTTCAGGGCTGTAGGCGGCGATGCCACAGCACAGCACCGACTGAGAACTTCAGACTGACGACATGCTGAAACAGCTCTGAGTGGCATCAAAAGCCCCGCCAGCATCGCCCAAAGGTGAGATGCCTCGTACCTGTGGTGTCGAAGAAACAAGTGGGGAGGCTGTGCCCGAGCAGTTCAGGTCAAAGCCCACACTGCGCCCGAGAGTGGCCCTGAGCCTGGGGGAGCGGAAGGAAAGCACAAGAACTCTGATGATAGAGGGAACTCAACTGCAGCAGAGCAACAAAAAGGGGCCGTAATCATTTCCAGAAGGTTTGGTGTACGTTTAAGCATCATAAGAAACCCAAACGGCTTATCCATATCTGAATCTTTCAACCGGGCAGGAAACTGCACCGCTGGATTAGGGCCTGGCCTTACAGAGTTTAGGGGCGGTAAGGGTCTCTCGGCCACTGTGGGCTTTCTTGGCATGAAGCCTCAGGAGAGTCAGAGTGGGAGTCGCGACGTTCGAGGCGCTGCTGCATGGACCAGTTCTTCCCAACTTCCGCAATCAAAAACTGCATCCGGAAATTTTTTATTACAGAGTATGCACTGCAAGTCAAGATCCATGAGCCCAAGAACCGGGTAACCAGGCGAAGCCATGCAGCCAGGAGGCATCACGACAGGCACAGTCGCGAAGGCCACGGCCAAAGTGCCAAGAGACACGGCTGGTAGCCCATTGCACACCACGCCGAGCCTTATAGTGCTTCGAGCAAGGATTTGGAGGGCGTTGTCGGTTTCAGGGAGTATACTGGCAGTGGGCGAAACAGTGAGAAGCAGTGTCCAAGTCTAGACATGATAGCAGCCAGTCGTGATGCCAGGCAACGCGCAACAGGTTGCTATAAACTGGAACTAAAGGCTGTGCATGTTGCAGCTGGTCCGTTTTGGTAGTATAACCTCTATTCAATCAGCACTCAGCGTGTCCTGGAGGTTAGCATCGTGTTGCTGTGATTGCTCCTGCTTCTGCAGGGACGCGTTTCAACTCTCAAACATCTTGAATCCAAGAGGCAAAGCGATTTTGCACCAGACCGGCCCATGCCAAGAATGCGACCAAAACTGCTTGATGTTTGCCGCCTGCTTGCTTTGCCTGAGTCTTCGTGGCGATGACAGAAGCGCAACAACAACAACAGCACCTGCAACAGCAGCTGCGCTAAAAATGAGGACGACGATGACGAACTGCCGCAGTTTTTTCTGCCGTTGCTGCTCGTAGGAGGACGACGGAGGCGGATGACGTACTAATAATGCTCATATTCCAGTACCACGCAGCATAGATTTGCCAAAATGCTGACAATCACGACGATAACAACACTGGCATCACCAGGGTTTGCATCTATCAAGCCTCCTTGTGAGTCTCGGGAGCTGCAATTTGGAACATGTGGAAATGTCGAGCCGCAAAGGTGAGAGCTTGGGTTGAGTTTCGGGTTTAGGTTTGAACGTGACATTCCACAACTCGAAAAATTGTCGAACCAAGGAGCTTGTACATGTCCTTGCTGTACGCGCCACCTGACAGAGGCCACCCTCGACTTGACTTTACACTTGAACCTGACTGGATACTGTTACTCATTGTTCTGACAGTCGCCCTGGCAGAACTACAGGTTCGCAAGAGCCTCGACATAGGCAGCTCTGTAGATCAGCGTCCGTTTTCGGAACCCCAAGAGAATACGTGCCTCTCATAATGAAGGCCCTCCTAATTTGAGAACTCCCCTTCCAACCTCTCCCCATGATGCCGTTGAATGGCCGAACAAAACTGGCCCGACAATGCCCGCAAATCCAGAAGTAGACTGACTGCTGGCCACGTGGTAATAATAAACTTCGTCAACGGTTTGTGGTGTGCTGGAAAAAAACTAGGCATCACCCTGCATCGAAATCTCCGAATTCGCAAGTCCAGTCACCAAACCCTGTCAACATCTCGACTCGAAAGCCAAGTCTAGATAGAGGATCCTACTCTTCTAGACCCTGCGAATACATGGTAGGATATGGTTTTAACAAAAAACACCCTCCCAAGAAAAGAAGACAAAAGGGGGGCCCGGCAGGTCGCCTCGGAGCACCAGGCCGGCTGCCCAGAGGATTCGGTGAGCAGAAGTCACCCTCAGGATCTCCTCGAAAAGTTTCTGGGACTTCTTAGTCTTTTTGGGCTTTTCGGGCCCTGAGTGCGCGGCTTCGGCCCGAACAAATGCAAACCTTACGAAGGGGTAGTCGGGTGTAGTTGCTGCATGGGCATGTATGCAGGGAGTTACCATAACACTCACAAGGACGCATCTCTGATGACTGTTGCCTCTGCACCCTTCCTTACAATCAGGCCTTTTAAATTGTTCGTACCGGTATTTACGACGAAGGCCAAAAAATAAATTCATCTTAAAGGCTACAGCAAGACTGGGGGGAGACTTGGAAGAGTACATATAGACGGATGCGGTGTTACCAGGCTCGCCCGTCACTGCAGCATGTAAACCTTAATCTCTCAATGCCAAACACTGCAATATAGAACAGAGAGGGCGCTTATGCTCGCACTTTCTCAGCACTGTCTCGCTCTAAGCGGCTTCATATTAAAGAAGTATTCACCGTGCGTCAGCAGAAAACAAGGCAATGTTTCTGCTATATCCAGCCCAAACCTTCCAATCCAACTTTTGGCAGATCTCTTTGCGGATCTGTTTCCGATGCGTTTTCCCCATGCGCTGCTCAGCTCTGTTCCGGTTCTGTTCGAGCGCTGCTGCCAATCTCCGTCGAGTTCGTTCTGGTTCCATCCCGTCCTCTGCCCTGGAAAAGATTGAAACCTAAAGCTTCCGGCCGCCGGAAATGCAGTCAACGACAATGATCCCAAACCCGAAGACACACGCAGCCATTGCCCTCTAGTCTAGAGTCTAAATATCGGATAAAGCACTATAAAGCATTTGTTGTAAAAAAACATGTTTTTTTCACCTGCATACATCGAAACGGGGGTCGAAAAGCGGCGGGTGGTGCTTTGTTTAATGGTCCTTCCATTCTGCGTCTCCGAGATAAAGGTGCACTTTGCAACAATCGCCTAGACTCGAAAACTGCAAGTCCCTCACACTTCTACTCCAATTTGGAGTTCGAGGATGGCCGAACGCTAAGATGCTCATTGGACCGTGGCTCCTTGAACCTCTTTCTACAGGATGACATTTTCAACACCATAATGAGCACCGGAAACCCAACAAGTTATTGTCCAAAGGTCTTAGCCAAAGTCCAAACAGGCTCACAACCCTGCAGAATCGCTTCCAGGTGTCGGGGCGGGTGAGCTTGAAACTGGAAAGGTGCTTCGCCACTGTTGCCACTGCCTTCCTCATGTACTCCTGATGCAGTTAGGGTCCGTTTGATGGGCCTAGTATAGGGACGAAGACGCGGGAAGAGGAGACCCTCAAGAACCTCTGAATCAGCTCTTCGTCTGTCGTTTAGTTGTCAGGTGCGTCTGATCGGTTTTCGATGTCTTGCTGCTCGTTTCACCACCGGTACTCGGGGTAAGGCATCGCTGACCATGGTAAATACTTCAAGCGACACGAACACGACGAGGTGATGTCAACCATAGTCGTCGTGGGCAAAACGGAATTATGAGAGTCTGGCAAACTCAGACTGCCCGCGGTTTGGACCGTGATTGAACGAACCCAACCACCTCTTATGTTCTTACTATTCTGGCACCTGTGCATGCAGGGAGGCCTCTCAATCAGGCTTCACACTTCTTTGGCCGCGGGCTCTTTCAACGTTAACGACCTGACATGAGACCTTGAGCACCGCCCTTTTGTTTATTCTTGGGCTATTCTTGACATCTTGTCAACTTCTGTGGCTTTGCTTTGTGATTTGATCTGCTGCTAGTTCACTCTATGCACTCCTGTATGACTGTTTCCAAAAGCTCACCAACACGCTTCTACTGCATATTTTCTCGTGCATGTCGTACACTGGCCTCACACGGCTGCGTCAATTCATGTCTGTATTCTAAAGGCTTGAATAGTGAGAGGAGGGGTACGGTTTTGCGATGTGTTCTACTACATGGATGTCCAGTCACTACGCTTGAGGCTTCGGCATGAGCCACGTCCAGAGCTTTTTGTACATAGGGACTTAGCGGTCGAACAGATTATGATGGAATAAGGCCTTTTTGGTATATCCAACATGATTTAAGGAAAACAACAATGCTAAGAGCTATTTCTGCCCTTCCAAACTCGCACCCGCAGGCCGACGGGTTCATGTGCCACAAGCCTGAAGTACCCATGATCGGATCCCGACCCCGGCAGTCTCTCCCTGGCCCTGTGCCCTGAGCTCCTCGTCCACGCGAATCAAGGGCTCTTCTGCTACCTCATGTGTCGCCTGCGTCGTGTTCCCCGTCGAAAATGTGGAGTCCATGGCAGCGTCAGCGTCATCCTGTGTGCTCATCTGCGAGCTCGAAATGCCGCTGGCGACATCGTCCTGCCAAAAGCGCCGCTTCTTCTGTCGAGCTTTGGATGCGGGATGTAGACTATGTAGACTGTTTCGGGTGTCGGTCAGGGCGCAGGGCTTGGAAGCGTGGCTTCAAGCTTGCCCAAAGGCCCAACAGGCCACCTGAACCCCAACACCTAGAATGAAGCCAACATTTGCGCGGAGAAGCCGCGCTTCTTCAGATTCTCAGGAAGATCTTGGAGGCACGACGGTGAACATGCGGATCTGAGATTTTCATACGCCCTAGAAGGAGCAAAGGCTGAACCCTCACCTAATGTAGGGGCCTTAATAATTAGAATAGGGTTTTGGGGGCTCCTTATTCAATAGAAGCATGACATACCCCCAAGCCCTATTCTGATTCTTAAGGCCTCTAGATGAAATAAATTCAAACTCTGCACACAAGCCCTTGCTTTAGCATCTCCCTCCCGGTCCTCGGCGTCGGAGACTTCTATCTGAGGGTCAACTCCGTCTTCGCATTGATGCTTTTGCATGGTGCGTAGGAGGAGCGTGCCAAACCGTCGTATGGACCAGGGCGTTGCAGTCTCTGTCGACTCTATGATTTGGATCGTGCTATTGGTGATCTGTGCTCATGTCCTCTATAATTCCAATTCCACGAGTATTTTCCGCTGTGGGGACTCTCGGGGGCACTAGAAACATAGGCCCTAAAGTAGGTCCTTGTTGGGGTTCATATATAGAATCCTATAACGTAATCCCCAAAAGGAACTACTATGGGGCCTATGGGTAGCAACACCTCGACTACTAGAAGCGTTGCCCGTTTTCCACGGATTAGAAGAGCCAGAGTTCCCGAGTTGGGCGCGAGGATATGCCGTTGCCAAAACCCTGCTGCGAAAATCTCAAGCCGCCCAGATGAGCTCTAACCAAAGCTTCACTTCAACACATGGTGTAGTTATCACCGGCGGTACATTGACATGGATATCCTATACACTTGCAGATATACTTCCATATATACATGCATACAAACATGCATGCATGCATACATACGTTCGTGTCACACAAAGCCTTCTCAAGTAGATGGACACAGTTCTGTTTCTGGTACTCTACATTGGGTTTGCGGCGGCATTTGCTCAAGCTTTACACAGCTTCAGAACTAGCGACAGTGAAGACAGCTCGGATTTGGGTTTTCATCTTCAGAGCTTTCAATCTCGAGGGTGTTGAGCGGACCCCGAGCAATGGAATCGCGGAGAAGAGAACAGAGTGCAACCACTCAAGAGTATGGCCGGATCACCTAGCAGCAGTTGTAGCAAGCACAAGTCAAGAACGAACCGAGCCCTAAAATCGTGTCTGGTGCAACTATCTATCATCCGAATTCATAGTACCTGAACCGCATCACAGCTATTGTGAGAAGATCCTTTTGTTACCTCCTCTTCATTGCTTGAGAACAACACTTGACACAAACGGCGCGCCGCAAAAAAAGAACCTTTCGGCCACAAAAGATCTCTCAAGTTATACAAAACCTGAAAAGAGTACTCCGTCGGTGCTCCTGGGGCCCTAAGTCTAGAAACCACCGGAGAGGTACTTGAGGATGTATACCGGCGAAGCCTCCAAGGGTCTCAAACATGAAACTCTCAAAAAGAAAGGCCTCTGAGGTAATGCAATTTCGGCGGATGGTTGAAGCAGTTTAAGGTCTCGTCACGACTTCTTTCCCTCTGTGCCCCAAAGTCAAAACGGCCCCTGGAAGAGAATGCTACGGTAGGATTCAGTGCGTATGTCTTTCATATGGATGTGGGTGATCTACTGAGCTGCGCCCGGTATCGAAAGAGGCCTTGAGCCGTAGAACCTCCGCGCCACGGACCAGGTAGTATTCCTTGCCGTCCTGGCTTTAAGGCAGTCCTTCGGAGTTCTAGATCTGTCTGTCGGGCGTATTTTTGACATTTTGCCAGGTCGATGTAGTAGGGCTGAGGGCTTTCTTACCAGCTGCCGAACTGCAGTGACTTAGGTTGGGGGTTTAGGGGCTTAGGGGCTTAGGGGTTTAGGGTTTATTTTGGGGTTTAGGGTTTACGCTCTCGCAACTCGGACACTGTCAGACGAGGTCTCTCGCGTTCAACTGGAAAACATCTGCTTACAAGTGAGCGAAGTTTAGGGTTTAGGGAGGAATCGTGCACATACTTCCGGGCTAGACACACTCCAATACCAGACCAGGCGCAACTGAAGAAGGGCTTAGACTACGGGGTCTGACAGCCTGTCGGGATTACTCGTCCAGGGTCCTTCGATTTCAGAGTGGCTGGCAGGAATGCAACGAAAACGCCGATGAAATAGGTTTCTCTGAAAACTGACAGATATGTATCGTGTATATGTATGCTTGAACAACCTATGATACTCACAGCTTGTGAATATATATATATATGTATATATATATATATATGTACATAGATATATGTATACGCGTGTCCCAAGGAATTCCCGAAACACATACCGGCAGGAATGAGATCAGCGCAACTTACTTGACAATACTACATCAACCCGATTCTCCTAGTCCTTTTATAACTTTATAACTCAAGTATGATATACCCAAACAGAAACTAAGTGAGAAGTCAAACTAACAAGAGCCATTGTAGAAGTGTAAGGAATGCCCACACCAACACCGAAGTCATCATCCACGTAACAGTGACAAGACACAGCATTGCAACCAGCAGCAACAAACAACGTCACCTCATAGTTGATAGAACACTACACTCCCCTGAATGGCCCTTATACGTTCAAACAAAGGCCCCAGTCATTTATCATTCGTATTCTGCATCCAGCAATATCCTAAAGAGCCTTATGCTATGTGTATGTCAGGGTATATGTATACACGTATACAGGTATGTATGTTTACACTCACCAAAACATCACAGAAACTCCTACGAGCTAGCACAGCTACAGTTTGGCCTCGTGCAGTCATCAAATCAGGACCTTCGGGTTTGTGTCCAGGCCAAAATAATGGTCATACCAGTTGTCATGGTGATAATGCTAGCAGGAATGATACTAATCATGATAACAACAGTATTAAGACTAATCATAAAGCAGAAGCAATCTTGATCAAGGCTTATGACCTGGGCCCCAGGGATTCGGAGATACTGCTGACCTGGAGAAAAAGTGCAAGCGCCGATTGAATGCGATAAGGTCACAGTGAAATCCTGCCAGTGGTTGCAAGCGTGATTCAGTTGCGACCCAAAACCCTCCCGCCATTATCTGATGCCGTCTCGCCTCCCGTTACGAACCGCAGATTGCCCATGGCACAACACGGAAGAAAACACAACCAAACAATTTTCGGATTCTGGCACAACACGGAAGAAAACAAAACCAAACAGTTTTTGGATTCTGGGGATCCCGTATTTAGGGAAGGAAGCCCGTAGTACGCCCCAAACTCAAAGCCCCTCAACCATCCGGTGGCATCCAGGGAACAGCCCCGTAAGTCGTTACAACAGCAGCGGCAATGATAATCGTCTTCGCCAATATGGAAGGATGCTGTTAAACCCTGAAGCCGAAAGCAGAATAGAAGCAGTAATAGTACCATCCCGTTCAGCATCTTTTGCTCTGTCCCCTGGCTTCAGGGCTTAAGGTCCTGTTACTTACGGTTCCAATGCCGAATATGCAGCTGCCACAACACCGCACACAACACTGTAAAGCCCGAGTGATCTGTGAAAGTAACGCTACAAGGCCGGAGAAACCTTGTACGAAACACTTATGCAGGAAGAAAAAATATCAAGCACTACGTTACTCAGGGAACCCGAAATGGTGGGAGGCACCAGGTAGTTCTTCCAACAGCCCTGGAGCTCGGATAAGACTCGATCCTGGTCATGAGGGATTGGAGCTAAGTGCAGGCTGTAGGGATTCGTTACTTTTTAGAGGTTTTGGGGTGTAGGCGTGAGGGCTTCGTTTTGCTTGTACAGGGTCCAGCTTTGAAGGCTCAGCCTTTCTTGGTGGGAAGTGGGTGTTGGGGTTTAGGCTTCGCGGTTGACTTTTTTCAGGCATGTGCGGTGCATCTAGGGCTCAAGATGTTAAGTCTCCGATGTGGGACTTGGGCCTCTCTGTTTAGAGTTAACGTTGAAGAGGCTCTGAATGCTACTGGGGCTCTTTGGGTCTTTGGCATGACCTCCCGAATCGAAGTTTTGCGCAGCACCTGGGAGCCCCAGAAGACCTAGCCACCATCACGGCGCTTTTTTCAGTGTCGAAAGTGGACCAAATCCTGCTCTGCTCGAAACAGAACGCCTCGATCGAGAAACACCAAGAAGCAAAAACTAGAAACGACAAAACCCTAAGGACCCCCAAGCCCCAAACCCGAAGCCTTCAAGATCAGGGTAACCCTGAAACACTCCAACCCTGACCCCTTGCACCAGCTAAGCCAGAAAACCTTAAAAAGATAGAGAGCAGTAGCAACCAACAAGACGAAAGCATCAAATTGAGCCACCACAATAATCAGTCAGAGTAAGCACAAGCGTCCATTTTTGCCACTCACTGAAGTAAACCCTGCGACCCTAACACCTCAAGCCTCTAACAATAAAGCGTGAAACCCTCAACCCTAAACCCTGCGACCCTAACACCTCAAGCCCCAAACAGTAAGGCATGAAACCCTCAAGCCTCAACAACCAACTGCCAGCCCCATCCTTCTCGCCCAGCGGGGGAGTAGCAGCAGGTCGGCTTGGGCAAGAGGTTTCCAATTTCCTGAGAGCTTCCGATGGTTTTAAGGAACATCCCCAGAGCCCGGCCACCTTCATAGTAGGTTGCTGTTCCGAGATGATACAAACCTTGCAGCGGCCTCTAGCCCGGTAGCCTACTTAATTTAATTTGTAACGTAAGGGTTTCTGGAAGAGTCGTACACTGGCATCAAGCGAACGAACTGATGTAAAGGTTTGTGCTGAACTGATCCTTTCCATACAAATTCCAAGGAGTTTAGAAGGCTTCTGTCAGGCTTTGAAGCGGCATTC